TGGGATTACAGGTACCCATCACCAGCGCCCGGCCATTTTTCGGTTGTAGTTGTCACTGTTGTTTGGCAGGCCCGGGCTGGATTTGAACCCACCAGGTCTGGCGTATGTGGCTGGTGTCCTAGCCGCTGAGCTACAGGTGCTAAGCCACAACACCTCTTCATTTTTTTTTTTTTTGGTTGGGGCAAGGATTGAACCCGCCACGTCCAGTATGTGGGGCTGGCGCCCTACTCCTTTGAACCACAAGCACTGCCCTCAACACCTCTTCTTGATAAAAATAGTCAACAAATTAGGAATAAAAAAGAACTTCTTCACCTAAATAAAGAGCATCTATGAAAAACCCACAGCTAGCATCAAATTTAATGGTGAAAAACTGAATGCTTTACCCTGTGATCAGGAACAAAACAAAAATGTCTGCTTTCACCACTTCATTTAACACTGTACTACAGGTTGTAGCCAGGGCAAGTAGGCAATAAAATGAAATAAATGATACCCAGATTAAAATGGAAAATCTAAAGCTATTTTTATTTTTAGGTAGCATAATCTTATATACAGAAAATCCTTTCCAAAAAATCACTAAAAAACAAAACTATTACAATTTTAGAAAGTTACAAGATATAAGAACAATATAAAAAATGAATTGTATTTCTGTACAGTAGCAATAAACAATTTGAAAATGAAATTAAGAAAACAATTCCATTTATAATAGCATTAAAAAACCTCAAAAATAAACTGAACAAAAGAAGATTAAAACTTCTTAAAACTTCTTTAAAACTATAAAACAATGTCAAGAGAGATTTTTTAAAAGCCTAAATAAATGGAAAGATATCCTACATTCATGAATCTTCACGTTAAGATGGTAATATTCCCCATCTGATCGATACATTCAACGTAATTTCTATCAAGATTCTACCTGCCTCTGTTAAAGAAATTGACAAACCAATCCTAAAATGCATATGGAAAGCCAAGGGATACTAGAATAACCAAAACAACCTTGAAAAAGAACACAGTTGGAAGATACACATCTTCTGATTTTAAAGCTACTGTAATAAAGATTATGTGATACTAAGGCTGGGGCAGTGGCTCCCACCTGTAATCTTAGCAGTCTGAAAGGCTGAGACAAGTGGATTACTTGAGTTTAAGAGTTGAAGACTAGATTGAGCAAGAGTGAGATCCTGTCTCTTCTAAAAATACAAAAACTAGCCAAGTGTGGTGGCACAGGCCTGTAGTCCCAGTTACTTGGGAGGCTGAGGCAAGAGGATTGCTCAAGTCTAAGAGTTTGAGGATGCTGAGAGCTATGACACTTTACCCAGGTGGACAAAGTGAGACTTTGTCTTCAAAAAAAAAAAAAAAAGAAAAAGAAAAATTATGTGGTACTAAAACATCTTTTGCAGCCCAAAACTCATTGTCCAGTATGAGTTTTTCTTAATAGGTATTTCTTAATAGCTGTAAGAAAGAATATTATGATATCTGAAAAGACTTTTTAAAAAATACTGTGTACTGGTACTGACATAAGAACAGCCAGCTCAATGGAATAGAACTGAGAGTCCAGAAACAAACCCTCATACTTACATGTATAAGTACACTAATTTTTTTTTTTTTTTTT